TCCTCATTCTGACTTTATTATGTCGGATGCAGTGAACCATCTGCACATCTGATTCAAAAAGCAAAGCAGCCCTGCAAATGAGTAGATGGGACATTGTTGACAGGTAGCCTGGTTAACATTAAGGGAGACGGCAGAGTTATTTGCCTGGGTGATTAGTAACACCTATTGCTGTGGTTGGAGAAACTTCAAACACAAATTTATTGCCATTTTACATAGATTTGAACAAAACAGCAGATCACCTTATATTACCTATGTCCTTTGAGACAACTTTGCATAACTGGTTAACATTTACTGATATAAATGCAGGGTAAGTAATGTATAAGGCATATTCATTTCTTTGCTGATATTTGTGATGCGCAGAAAAGTTTCAAATGTAGTGGCAGCTCAGCCGTCTAAACTCAGGACGCATTTATATTCAATTCAGTTTATTTATATAGCACCATTTCACAACACATGTGATCTCAAGGCACTTCATAGAGACAATTCAACCAGATCATTCAATCAGATTGGTTCAAAATTTTCTAAGGAAAACCAGCTAATTGCATCGACTCATTGACTTGAAAGCAATCCCTCACACACCAAGCATACTTGGAGCAACAGTGGAGAGGAAAACTCCGTTTTAACAGGAAGAAACGTCCGGCAAAACCAGGCTCAGTGTGAGCGGCCATCTGCCGAGGCCGACTGTGGTTGAAGGAGACAGAAGCAGACATACAGAACGAAGCAGATACAAAAGTTAACTGTTAACTAACTCCATAGGCGGCCCCATACAGGAAAGAAGCAGCCAGCAGACAAGTTTCGAGACAGCCCCCACGTAGAGGATAAAAGAGAGCACATACAGTTAGTCACAGTGAGAAAAACAAGACCACAATGAAAAACAGGCCAAGCTCCAACATCTATAATCACAGGTGTTGATGGCGGCAGCAAAGCTAATATTTGTGTCTGGACGGTTTCACAACAAAGCTGGAACAGACCAGTTGAGAAAAGGCAGAGGGAGCATAACACTAGAGATTGAACTAACCAATTCTGCATAATGGAAGAATAGAGAGAAACAAGCAGGATGGTGAAAATCGCCATCATATATCTCTGACTTATGATGGAGCTTGGCCATTTAATGCTTTATATGTGAGAAGGAGGATTTTAAATTCTATTCTGGATTTAAGAGGAAACAGATGAAAAGAAGCCAGGATAGGAGAGATATGATCTCTCTTTAATTTTCATCAGAACTCTGGCTGCAGCATTTTGGATCAGCTGAAGGCTTTTAACTAGAGTTTGTGGATTTCCTGATAGTAAAGAATTACAATAGTCCAGCCTTGAAGTAACAAATGCATGGACTAGTTTCTCAGCATCACCCCTGGATAAGATATTGCTAATTTTCGCCATTTTCTGGAGAAAGGAAATTCTAGAAACCTCTTTGATATGGGGCTTCTATACTGTTCCCTTGTATCGGGTGGCGCATTAAAGCCAGAGAGGCGAACATGGAGGATGGGACCATTTTCACTGTGCTGCTGATCGATTTCTCACTAAAAACAAGTCCTATAATCATGTCACGGTTTAACATCCAGTTTAATCAGCAGCTGTTCTTCACAAAATTGTAAAATAAATAAAGTCCTTTTTAAGCTGTTTTGTATTGTTATTTTAAACGCCAAGAGAATCTGTCTTTTTCCAACTTTTGTCACTTCAGCCTGACAGAAATAAAAGTCAGCCACCAAACACAGTTTTCCAACTCGTAGTGAGTATTTATCATTTTTCATTGGTGTTAAAAGAGGATGGAAACAGACTGATAGCAGGACATAAAAACTAAGACTTACTAAAAAAAGATTAGTGTAGACTTTCAAGTAAATCTCGTTCTTGAGTAAAATCCTATAGATTACTTGTTAGAACTGTAAATTTACAGTCACATGTTTATATTACTGTTTTTATATATATAGATTTTTTTTTAAACTATTTTTCAAGGCTGCACTTTAAAAAAAATGAAATTGTCCAGAGAGCTGTTCTAACGGAAATTTCTTCTTGTTTTACACTGTAAACAAAATGACAAATCTGTCTAAGATTACAGGATTAAGGACATTCCTAGTATACGACATGATATCACACGTAATGATTTTTGAGAATTTGCCAACAGTTGCTCTTTATTTCCCAAAGATATGAGAGGAGGAGAGAATGGATGATTCAGTTGACTGAAATAATCAGTCCCCCCTCTATAACATGGGAAAAATTAATTCACCTGCAGCTCTTTAACTGTGTTCATTCCTCTCTTCATAAACAATAAACTATGTGGATTTGGTGACATTTAATCATTATTTGCCAGAGTTGTGAGAGGGGAATCATATATTTTAGCCACCTGATATCATCTGTTCCTCCTTTGATGATCTTTATGAAATCTATTTTCTATTTAAATGTTTATCTAACAATTTACAAATATTCCAAAAAGAGTTCAAACCAAATGTCTGGTGCAATGCTACTGCAGACATTTTGAATTGAGAATTGAAAATAAATTTCATAAAGATCATCAAACCAACAGTCATATTTATTTTAACTATTTTGGATTTCAAAATATAAAATAATAAATTTTTCAAACATTATATAGAAAAATAATGACAGTTTTAAAATTCACAGGATTTGTTAATTTTTTCCCCATGTTATGGGGGAGCGGATTATATCAGATGGCTAAAATATTTGATTCCCCTCTCATAACTTTGGCAAATAATGATCAAAAATCCACAAAGTTTGTTGTTGATGAAGAGAGGAATAAACAGAGTTAAAGACTTGCAGGTGAATTAATTTCTTCTCATGTTATGGAGGAGGAACTTTTATGTGTGATAGCATGTAGTATACTAGAAATGTCTTTAATCCAGTAATCTGTCATATTTTACATTAGAACGGGATTTACCAGAAAGTCTGCACTCTCATCTTCACCCTCAGGGCTAAGCCCCTGACCTCCTAGAATCCTAGATCCTCCCCTGGTTGGCACCTTTGGTCCACTCTGGATTCTTGTGAGTGTAGTCTTTGTTCACTTTACAATAAAAAATAAACATTTTTTAAAACTTCTGTATTCATTCTTTTCCTGCTTTGTGTGTCAACTGTCACGGTTGCTAAACAACATAGCCTACGGCGGTAAAACCCGCCGAAGGGTAGACCTGTTTGAATTCACAGCCAAAACTCTTCCGGTCTCCTTATTTTCAGGGACTTCGAAGGATCCAGTCTAGCAGACAGCGTCCTTGGAGGATGCAGCCCATTAATTCGAACAGAGCCATGGACAGCGTGTTAAATATGAGTGTCACAGGAAAGGGTCTGAATACTTAGGACCATTTGATATTGTGGTTTTTATTCTTTAATAATTTGGAAAACAATTCTAAATTTGTTTTTTTTTTTCTGTCAAGGTGGGATGCAGAGTGTAAATTAAAGAGAAATAAAATTTACTTTTTTGATTTTAGCAAATGGCTGCAATGAAAAAATTTTTTTTTTAAATTTCTGTACCCACTGTATCTGTCTTAATCCATGCTGGGTTACATCGTGACATTTAAAAAAGGAGGCAGGGAGAGCAGAATAAAGTGTTAGCCAAGCCTTGTTGCTAAATAATTCTATAAACCTGTCAATCAGCCGCACTTTATAACAGACGACTGTGATGTCAGCGATATGGCGGGATGTGTGGTGTGCAGATAAAGTTGTTTTCAGCTCTGGGAGTAGGAAAGCTGCGCCACAGGATGGTCCTATCTTTTCTACTGAAGAGGAGCTACTGCGCATTTTAATGAGAATCTATGGGCACAGATTTTTGCGCCCCAGGACGGGAATACGTCACCAATCCGACAAAGAACAAGCAGCTTTACTCATCATTAAACATTAAATGTTTATTTTCCACATCTCAAAAAATGTACATTAATATATTTCCAACAATTTTAATTTTATAATTACTTTTTTATTAGTTTTTTTTAGGTGAGTGGCATTAGTCTTTATGATGTAAAATGTCAAACTTCAAATACAACAAAGTTCAATTATGAATGTTTACTATTATTAAATTCCTGCTCCTTTTTGGCTGCGACACCATCCTGAAGAGAAATATCGTGCTGCTTGATCTAGATGTTGGAGATCGGCCTGTTTTTCAGTGTAGTCCTGTTTCTCTAACTGTGACTGGCTGGATGTGCTCTCTTCATCCAGCCGCCTTTTACTGCTGCTTTTTGTATCTCTGCTTCTGTCTCCTTGAACCCCAGTCGGCCTCAGCAGATGGCCGCTCACACTGAGTCTGGTTCTAATGGAGCTTTCTTCTTGTTAAAAGGGAGTTTTTCCTCTCCACTGTCACTACAAGCATGCTTAGTGTGAGGAATTGTCTTCGAGTCAATGCAATCAACTGGTTTCCTTAGATAGAAAACTTTGAATCAATTTGACTGGATGATCTGGTTGAATTGTAAAGTGCCTTGAGATGACATGTTGTGAATTGCTGCTATATAAATAAACTGAATTAAAATTAAACAATTAATAAAAAAGGATTACACATATGAAAACTTGTAGAGGTTGTAGAAAATGTGCATCATTTCAATGTGTTAGATCGGATAAAGGAGCTGAAATAAATCCAGCAAGGTAGCTAGGATTATGTTTTTGATTGTTTTTAGCAAGAAAAAAAAAAAGAAAATTAGATGTTTTACAACTAGGCTACATATTGTACATTATGTTGCATGGTGAGAAGCTTCAGCTTGTTATAAAAGGGTTGTGAAGCTGAAAAATAAGGTTTGCTTTTCAGACCTGCAATGAGAAACTACATTTGTTTTTACTTTGTTGTCTTTGACCAATACTTAAATTAATTAAAATTTTCTTAACACTTCAGTGTGAAAATACATTTAAAAAAAAACAAAAAACAATGCAAAAGCTTTTACAAACCACTGGATCCTGAAAACCACATGAAATTAACGTACTTTTATTGATCTCATGTACAATTTAAAGTTTTGAAACGGTGAATTTGGTTTTCCTGATACTGAAGTCAAAAGTTCAATAAATAAATGCAGAACTTTCTTCACTGCTTTAATGTTATTTTTGCAAAAAACACAAGCAGAACATCCCAGAGGTGAGTGACTCAGACCCAAAAGGATCACAGCAAGTATCGCCTACCAGACAGCTGGGGGCGCTGCTGGTTACAACAAAGCCATGCAAATGTTGTCCTGCCCAAATATGATCTGGTTAAAAATTCACAGAATCTGCTGATATTTAAGAGGGCATATTATGTATTTATCAACAAATTGATGAATTCAGCTCATTTTATGCCACTTTGCCTGCAGAGAGATGTTTTTAAAAGTATAGAGTGGATGGAAACGAGGAGTTTAATAGTTCTGGAGGTTCTGTAGAAGTCGGAGCCCTTCTGTGTTTCTGTAGCTGCCGTCTGAGCATCTAAGCATTTTTCCCAGCTGTATGGATTCTCATGTGCATGTTTAAATTTCCCTTACGGTTAAACTTTTGCCCACAAACATCACAACTGAACGGTCTGTATCCTGTATGGATTTTAATGTGACTGTTCAAGTTCGACTTTTGGTTAAATCTCAGTCCGCAAAAATCGCAGGCGTAGGGTTTGTCTCCCGTGTGGATTCTCACGTGAGTCATTAAAACAGACTTCTGGTTGAATCTTTGTCCACAGACATCACAGCTGAATGGTTTGTCTCCTGTGTGGATGATCATGTGTCTGTTTAAAGCCGACTTGTGGGTGAATCGCTGCCTGCAGAGATCACAGCCAAAAGGTTTCTCATCCGCGTGACTCCCCATGTGTCGGTCCAGGTGCGCCTTTCGGCTGAACCTTTGTCCACAGACTTCACAAGCGAATGGCTTTTCTCCAGAATGGATCTTGATGTGTCGGTCTAAATACGCCTTTTCGTGAAACCTTTGTCCGCATTCATCGCAGCCAAAAGGTTTCTCCCCTGTGTGGATTTTTATGTGTCTGTTTAAGTGGGATTTCCGGCTGAATGTTTGTCCACAGACCTCACAGCCAAAGGGTTTCTCCCCAGTGTGTATTTTCACATGTCTGTTCAGGTGTGTCCTTTGGCTGAATGTTTGTCTGCAGACATCACAAACAAACGTTTTTTCTACTAAGTGGATTTTCATGTGAACCTTTAGATGATTTTTCCTGTTAAAACTTTTACCGCAGTCGGCACAGTTAAAACACTTCAGACCCGCCTGGACGTCCTCCTGTGAGTCCGCAGTTCCCTTCTCGCTAAAAGTGAGCAAACAGCTCGGACACCTTACAGTCGGTTGTCCCGCCAAGTGGCTCTGCAGGGAGCAAACTGTGAATTGTTTGCCACAGCCGGAGCAGCACAGAGTTCTGCTGATGGCGTTTACACCCGATTCCAGACCGATTCCCGACACCCGATTCATCCGATTGTCGAGGTCATCAGTTTCAGGCACATATTCAAGACAGTGCCCCATGTCATCTTCACTGACTTCAGTCTCTGAAAAGTTGGATGCATCTTCAGGACTTTGAAGTTCCGGCGTCTGGCCTGATTCTGCATCTCTATAGTGCTCATCATCAGGTTCCGCTTTCATCTGCTCAGTTGAACTGCTTTCTGGGAGATCGATGTCTGTTTGATGATGAGGAAGCTGTGGGAACAGAAGTTTCTCTTCATCATCCTCACTCTTTATGACAACAGCAATGACTGGAAACCTGGAGGCATGAGCCTCTTCCTTCACACCGAGCTGACTGCTCCAGAGTTCCTCCTGCTCCTGCTTTATGGGTAGAGGCTCCGGGTCGCTCTGGTCCGCTCCCAGACTCTCTTCAGGAGACTCTTGTTTAACCAGAAGCCTCTGCTGAACATCGCCAGGCGGCTCTGAAACACATCAAAATCACAAAGCTGGTTTAGCAAAGATTGAAATCAAGAAAAAACTTATCGCAGTTACAACCGGTTATTCTTTTTAAATCATTCATTATTTTGTATGCACTCTGTATACAAAATGACACAAAGTTTAAAAGTCTAAACCTTTATAAAACACGCTAATATTTGTAGTGGTTGCTGATTTACTTTCCCTTTGAGATTAATTAAGTATTAAACTAAATAAAATGTGTGATGGACTCATAACGTGATTCTAATCCGTAAATAACAGCATCTCCAGGTATGAATGCAGTTTGGAAAGAACCACCCCCCCGCCCCAAATGCTTTGCCTGGATGACGATGGCGTTCAGTGGTACCTGCAACTGAGCAGGAACCAAAACTGAAAGGATCGCCCCAACAACAGAGGTGGGGCGGCGTCCTCAAGCTCAGACAGGAAGAAGAACACCTGCCAAAGTGGGTGGGGCTTCTGTGTCCTGTTCTTGAGCTGAGGGTCCTATGTACCCGGGGCGGGGTCTGGCCTGGGTCTGTGCTGGAGCTGAAGGACGACAAGCACTGAGTTATTTAACAATTCTTTACTGGCTTGATTAAAACCGTTTTTATAAAAGCAATCTACATAGCATCTAATTAGCATTCCTTACTGTATTCTCTGTAAACATTATTTTCTCTATTTCAATCCAATTGAAAAAAAATAAAAACTTGTTTGCGCCACGTTTTCTTCACACCCACATCTAGTATGATTGGTTTTCTCGGCACAAGACACTAAAATTCAGCAGGCAACTTGACCCGACGCCACTAGAGAAATGCCTGCACATCAGGATAACATGAAATCTGTTGCCAGAAATACGTTTGATGTCAACCAGGGAGACACGTTATTAATACATTAGTCTAAACTTTATAGGTCTGTTTGATCGACTTAGTTATAAAAACAAAAATAAAACTCAAAAACTCAGGATTGTCTTGTGTTAAGAGGAACTTGGGAACACTAATAGTTCTGCTAAGTGGATCTCTAATTAATCAAGCTGAATAGGGCTGCATTATATGGATTAAAACTAGTATCTCAACATTATTTAGCTGACTGGAAATATGCTTATGATACACATATCTATTTTTTTCCATAAAGTTATTATTAAAAGACACATTTGAATCAAAGCGTTGTTTGAACTGTCCCAGAGGGACATTTATTAACAAGCAGCTTAAGATGAACATAATAGCTAAAAAAAAATTGCATATTGTCATACAACATATAATAACAAAAACACACTTTTCCAGCACATCAAAATCAAATATAACAAACAGCTAAAATAGAATTAAAAGTGCTCCCTTTATGTGTGCACCTGTTTAAACAATAAGTACCCTGAGCAAATAAAACACACTGGATAGAATAGGCACAATTCTGTCCTTTGGGCAGTGCATCTTTTTAGTGCAAATCTCAAATACCGATAAAATTACAACACAACAGACCTGATCAACTTACTGTGGAAATTACATATATTTAGCCAAGAATACAACTGTTCATTTAATGATGCAATGTTTCACTGTGATGGGATGTCCTTTTAGAAGGGGAGCGGAAATACAAACTTATTTCACTTCACGTTCTTTCCATCATAAAAGGAAAAGTCCAGTCATATTCAGACTTCAAACTTCTGAAATTGCTTTTAATATGAAATTATTACATAATGTTTAATAAAGTTTTTTTTAATCAAAAGTAATTTTCATTTGATTGTGCTTTACTGGAGGCATCCATGTTTGTCAAAGAACACTACTGCCACCTACTGGTATGTGACGTCACGGTGCGGTATCGGCTGTTGATCAAGTCCCAGTGCTGTATCTGGCGCTATTATCCAAGTCATCTTGAAAACATTCTTCTTCCAAATGTTGGCTACATATTACGTGTTTTTTCTCTGGCCAGAAGTTCAATGGCAAATCCTCCCTCTTCAAGTTGGCGATCCAACGACGAACCCGTCCGTGGAGGATCAGGAATCGGAAAGGCGGAATCAGTTTTTTCCCCACTTCTACCCGATGCATTCCAACATCCAGCTGCCATGCACGTGGGCATTGTCAGTTTACTATATTTGGGCAAAAATGGCCGCTCCAAAACTCAGCTATCACGACCAAAATTATTACTTTCATATTTTTACCGAAGCATGAAGGAAGCATTATATACAATCAGGCAGCTAGAAAATTTGTTTTCTCTCCTCCCTCTGTGTGGAAGTGGTGGTTGTGTTATCCTGAAAGAAGCTGAGCAGACAAACACCTGAGCAGAGACTCCACCTCAGCGAGGGCTTTTTGTTGAAGTAAATCCATTTTCTCACACCACATGTATCTGGTCTTAAAGTGTGGATCCTCAAAAGAAGCAACATCTATCAGGTGAGGTAAGCACATTTTGATTGATTGATTCTTGATTGATTTAAACAGCTAACCATCACCCTGCAGCAGTGGCCTGACATCTGTCTGTGTCACACTCTACATCTGTGAAATCCAGAAGAGGCTTCAGTAATTTCTGAACTGCTTCCAGAACTTTTTTCGACTGGAGGGTCAGAACCGAAGGGCCTATTTTTCAGGTTGGCAGAAAGGACCTTAGAAAGTGCTTCAGAGCCCCGTCTACCATTATCATCCTTGATCCCAAGCGAGTGGCAGTTTCTGTGATGAGCTGAAGCTTCAGAAGTCCAGATGTAATTGTGCTTCAGCCAGTTCTCCTCTTTTCTTTTCTTCCAGCTGTAGAAGCTGCTGTTGTGTGTGACGCAGGTGTTATCCATAATTGGTCCTGTAACACAACAAAAACTAAGCTCGGATCCTTACACACTTAAATAACATTTAGATTAAGTAAGTGTGGGGTGTCAGTTTGCTTTATATAGAGATAATTAGCTTTAAGTTGTTTGCCTAGCATATTTTCCCCCCCAAATCAACAGATTCTATGTTGCCATCTAAACTTACCGATAGCCAGAAGAAGTCTGTGTCCAAAACGTTGCATCCTTTGCCATTTATTTAGGTGACATTAGCTCCTGTGCTTCCAGACATCCGTCAGGTCTTTAACTACATGCTTTGCAGTGTGGTATTGAGGGAAGCAGCTCGTCTGGAGACACACTTTCCAGTTTTCTAAGAACAGTGTTCTGTCAGATGAGCATACCTTGTCAGACCGGCATACCTATAGTCAATACGCATGCAGAAGATGTCAGATTTGCGCTTATCCCTTTATTTTTGAAGGAAAAATAGACTTTAAACTACCTCAATGGGCGTGTATCCCTTTAGTTATGTACAAAAAAAAAACTTTTTAAGGTGAGATCACCATACTCTTCAAAAAACATCATAAAGTAAGTAATTAAATTGTTTTTTGTCTGGTAAATTACCACCGACTAGCTAGTATCGTCGGGTTTTTAGCAGCTGTATAAAACCGCCTCATCCCACAGCTTAGACTGGGAGCATGTCTTTAGTCATGTTGCACCACTGGAACTGTTTCTCTCATAAGACACATCATGGATTAGTGAGTTTTGTTACGTGGACAGGAGGCTGTGGTGGATTCACAGCCTGAGCAGCAGAACACAGTTTTTCCTTGTTCCTCTTCATTGTGGTTTTTTAAAGCCCCTGTCACACCTTGATGATTTAGCCAGCGTATGCCTGACGTCCCAGAATCTTCTAAAAACGCTGGCATACGCTGAACTTTCTATGTATTTGTTCAATTTTGGGCGTATACATAGAGTATTCATAACCAGTCTAGAACTTTTGTCCAACTACAGCCTAACTTATGCATAAGGCACAAGGCAGTGTAATGTCCATGAAATGTCACAAGCCAGTGTCCTGAGGGGGGGCAGCAATGCGCCCAGAGGCGCCTGGCATGCATAAAAATATGCCTTTGGTCGTATTAACCTAGCTGCTGTTTATCGCCTGCCAAAAACTATAAAGAAATAAAAATAAAAAAAAAAGAAAGAAGGAAGATTTGCAGTCGCAGCAGATTCAGAGTCATGTCTGCCAGGAAGTTTGTTGTTCTTGGGTGTGAAGGTGGGGAGGATCCTTCATATTCACCCTATGAAGTGGATGAAGTCTGGAGGAGTACTGACTGTTCCCTTCTGTGAAAACCCTTTTATACCAAAACGCTGCCAATATGTCATTATACAGTAGCTGTAAGTTAGAAAGACGTTCAGCTGTCGCCTGGAACACATCAAATACATTGATATGCATTGGAAATAAGTAAGTGATGTGTTATGATCAAATAACTAACCTGTAACTTATGGCCCACATAAGGCATACCACAGGAAATTTTGAGAATGCCCAAAATTTTGCGACGTACTTGCCATATGTCAACATGCTTCAGTGTACTTCAGCACGCTCATAACTTATACAAATTGTACCCATAACTTATCCAATGTATGCCAGCGTTTTTGCCGGATTTTCTGTACATCAGGCATACTCTGGTCTAAATCATCAAGGTGTGACAGGGGCTTCAAAGAAGAAAAACGTGTAGCACTCTTTTTGTCAAGACTTGTTGGTATAGTCAATAAAATCCATCTTTCTGCTGTTCATCCGACACTTTGAATCCGAACCACGGCCATATAACAGAGGCGCCGTTTCTTTTTATTCGGCCATCAATATCCTCTCCCTCCTCCATATCTTTACAGAGCGAATGCCGGCTCACAAAGCAGAGACCCACGCACTCAACCCCGGGTTCTTGCTCAGGGAGCCAGAGTGGCAGTCCAGCTAGTTGGGCTCGAACTCAGAACCTATGGATTCCAAGTGCATTGCCTAGGCCGCCCATTAATTTAATCAACTCTGAGTAGGTCCACTCAGAGGCAAGAGGCGCTATAGCTGCAAAGGAGAGGGATTGCTGCTCGAGTTTAATGCACAAGTTTATATGTGGTCTGTTATGGCATACCGTTTTAACATTTATCAAAGCACTCTCCACTTTCTTGTTCCATTGGAAAATCACCAAAATAGAATTTTTCCTGGTCAAAAATCACATTCCTACTCAGAATTGTAACAATAAGTGTTAAAATCTGAAGCATCAACATTGGCTAAACCCTGACGTTTTCCACTGTATTGTAACTGGGTGGTTTATTAGCTGAAAACTGTGTTTACATAATTTAACTGTTCATTCCCACCCGTTTCTGGCCCTTGAATGCATCACTGCCCCGTTTCCCCCACCTTCACTTCTGTTTTACAGGGCTATTAGGCTCATTAATGTATATAGGCACCAGGTGTGCCAAGCAAGCTAGGAGAGTCAGGTCCAGGCTCGTCAGGCTGCTACACCGGGATTTGGATCCTGGATATTTGTGCTGCTGGTAGGAAAAAGGATTTTTGATGTCACCAATATCTGGTTCTGTATGTCAGGTCACTTTTTATAATGTTGCCATTCGTTTGTTGATGTGATTTGTAATTGCTTTGTAGGAAGAGTTTCGGGGGGGGTGGGGGGGTGGGGGGGGTGGTTTGCACTGCAGTGTCTGAATGTACCCAGTTGTGTGGCTGATAAAGGTGCAAGCTTTTTATTTTACCTTATGGCTTTATTGTAGGCCGACACTGTCAGTTTTTCGGTATTTCAGATTGCTGCTGTTGCATATTATGCTCTCACCTAGGTGTACTTTTTTAAATACTCTTGGTTAACTAGCTAATAGGTTTTCTCTAGAGCTGGGGTTGCAGCACAAGCACTACAGAGCCAGAACAACAGTTTATTTTTCTAAATTAGCTGATTTAGCACAGCTCTACAGCACTGGGTTGACGCAATGCGAGATTCGTTTTCTGTGGTTTAACATTATTTTTTTGTCATTAAAGCTACAGTGTGTAATAATTACAGGGATATACAGTCAGAAATGTAATATATTATACATAACTATGTTATTTATCATCATCTACGAGCTCAGCCTCTTAACCTTAATATTTGCGTTGCCTTAGAATTTGTTATTTATAATTACATAGGAGCGGGTCTTGCAGCCATGGAGGCAGACATCTTTGCGCTACGGCAGCGCAGAGCAAACAAACTAGCGATTGCGAGATCGCCCATTACGCTCGAAAGTAACTACGGCAAGTTGAGAGAGATGAACTGAGACGGTACTGAACAATAGATGGCAGTATTAAAATTATCTATGTAAACAAACCTCATCACTTGAGAAGGTAGGTGATGCGGACGTCGTGGAAGACATTTTGTCCCGTAACGCTCGCCGTACTGTTGGGGGGGAGAAGCGGTGGGGGCGAGATGTTCATGTTGCTGCGGTCTGCAGTCTGAACGTTAGATGTCGCTGAAAATTACACACTGTAGCTTTAATGTGTTGCTACTAATTTGGTTTGCAGTGTACTTTTAAAGTCTCAGATTGTGTCTAGTGTTGTCACAGGTTCCTGTGCCTTATTGGGATTTAAATTGGAATAATATATTCTGGGTTTTTTTAATTGTAAAAGAGTGTATAATATATTTGTACACTATTTCTGTTTCATCATTTTAAGCCAGACCTACCTATGTACGTTTAATTGGGGGACCCTAGGTCGCTTGATACTTTTAGAGGTCTACCAGTTGGCTTTAGGGCCACGTCCTCAGTGTTACAGCATACAGGACAAATCGTCTGGTTTAATAACATTTCTATTTCTATTTTTAAATCCAATGGAAGTTCTATGATCAGCAAATCTCAATCCAGGTGTTTGTAGCTTGATTCAAGACATTTCCTGTCTCCAGTCCTCCAGCTGTCCCTTGACTTTGGACATGTCTCTGACTCCCATGAACAGGTGGATGCTGAGGAAGCATTTCTGAGGTGTTGGACCTGGAAACCATCCTCAGAGGGCTGGAGTTTGACACCAAATACGGATTTCCCAAACATTTTGTTTGTTAAAACATATTAAAAAATAAAATAAAAACATATTTATAAACTGATCTTTTCCATCACTATACGGGCCTCTTCTTTAATGTGCCACAAACTATTACAAGTTTTAAGATTCATGCTAACAACTTTAACTGCATTTAAAATGTTTGGCGGCCACATTGGAAAACTCTACAACACAAAGAGCCTGGATAACTGTTTCCGCTATCATAAGCAGTTTAAAGCTTCCTGTAAACATGTCTAACCTAAAGAAAAACATCCAAACCTTTCGGGATGAAAGCTGCATCCAGTGTTTGGTGTCTCTGCTCCTCCGCTGCATCCAGTCGCTGTTGGACCTGCTGTCTCCACATCTCTGTTATTTTTCCTCTCCAGACTATGGATCAGCTCTAGCTAAGCTTTAAACAGCCTCTCTTCTTTTCACAGATCAACTGTCGCTGCTTCTATCTTATAGTTTTAATAACTCGCCCGCTGCTGTTCGATAAAAAACAAACAAACAGAGAGAAGACGGAGAACGATGCCTCGACTGCCGCCATTGGCCCGGAGATGAACATTTAACCCGCATCGAAAGCTCTTCTTCTTCTTCTTTTGTTTATTGGCGGTTGGCTAGCAACGTTTGGTCGCGCATTACCGCCACCTTCTGAAAAGGAGTGTGGGTCAGAATTTTTAAATGTCCCTACATTTCCTTTCTATGGCTCTGTTCGAAAACCTAGGACGGGTCCTCCAAGGACGCGGTCTACATAGACTGGATCCTTCGAAGTCCTTGAAAATAAGGAGACCGGAAGAGTTTTGGCTGTGAATTCCATAGATATCCATAATAAAGGCTAGATGTCTTACGGCGGAGTCTCAAACGGCATCACCGGCGGCCATCTTGCCTCAGGCAGGCTTTCTGTTGTGCTCTGTGGTACCTAATGCAAGGTGAGTGATCAGCACGAACACAAATCGGTCTCCGCCAGTCACGTGACATTTGTTGCTAAGACGCCATTTTTGGTGGAAAAGGCGTAGTGTAAACAACCGCAGCATAGCTAAACGAAGGACTAAAGGATTGAGTTGGAAGGGATCACAGACGTCATTGCTTGGAGCGGTTGAGCACGTGTGGCGAACGTTTGTGTTGGACGCCGAAAAATTCAAAGCAGAAACATCACTTGAGAGAAGGCGGATTTGGCATAAACTGGTATGTGAATGGTTCGGATGGAAATGGAGATAGGAAATGAAGAAGACGAGGATTTTGAAGGGTGGACGCCTGCGGGAAGAGGGAGAGGGAGAGGTCGTGGAAGAAATAAAACTGATGAAGGAAGGGGAAAAGGTGACAGTCAAGGTAATAAACGGGAATTGGAAGGAAGTAGCTCAGAAGAAGAAAGGGTGGTCAGGAGGAAAGTTGTGAGGGAGGAATTTAAAGTAATATTAAAACTTAAAAATGAGGAAGAAAAGGATAAAATCAGTCCCATTGTGGTATCAAGAGAAATAAAAAAGAAAATTGGAGATGTTGAAATGGTAAAGATTTTGAGAGACGGAAACCTATTGGTGATATGTAAAGATATAGAACAAAAGAATAAGGCTTTAAATGTGGAGAGTATCTGCAAAAGAACTGTTCTGGAGAAAAAAATCATGGGAGAAAATAAAAAAATTAGAGGAGTGATTTATGGGATCCCTCTTGATGAAGACCTTGATAAAATCAAGAGAAGTGTTGTGGGTGCAAAGGTGAACAACTTGAAAAGATTATCAAAAACAGTGAATGGAGAAAGAGTAGGAAGCTTGTCAATCCTTATTGAATTTGAAGATGAAGAGCTGCCAAAAAACATCAAAATAGGATACCTCAATTTTCAGGTCAGACCATATGTACCTCCACCACTTCGGTGTTTCAAATGCCAAAGATATGGACACATAGCAGCAGTCTGCAAAGGGAGGCAAAGATGCCCAAAATGTGGAGAAGATCACAAATTAGAAGAGTGTAAAGAAGAACAAGAAAAATGTTGTAACTGTGGAGGGAGCCATAGAGTCACGTTTGGAGGATGTGAAGTAAGGAAAAGGGCAAAAGAAATCGTACAGATTAAAACAACTAAAAACATAAGCTATGCAGAAGCAGTTAAGAATGTGAAGGAACAGGAAACAAGAGAGATTAAACAAACAGTGAGACAAACTACACAACAAAGCAAAGTACAGACAGAAGAAAAAGCCACAATTCCAGTGGAAAAACTAATATTATTCATAGCTTATGTTATCAACTGCACTGACCAAGCCAAACACAAAACTGAGAAGATTAAAATAATAGTGAGAGGAGCTGAAAAGTTTTTGGGATTTAAAGAGGGATCATGGGAGAACATAAATAAAAAGTTGGAGGAAGATGGGAGACCAGGACCTTCGGGTGAAAACGGTTCATGTTAATACTACAATGGAACGCTAGAAGTTTAATCGCTAATGGACAGGAACTTAAAGGTTATATTGATGAGCTGGAAGAAAAACCGGAAATTATTTGTGTTCAGGAAACATGGTTAAAAACATCATTAGATTTTGTGATTAAAGGATATGATAGTGTAAGAAGAGATCGAGCAGAGGGAAGTGGAGGAGGATGTGCAATATTTATCAAAAAAGGAATACAATATCAGATATTGGGGAAAGGGAAAGAACTAGAATATGTAGTAATTGAGATATGGGAAAAAGAAGGTAAATTAAAAATAATAAATTTTTATAATCCATGTAAAACATTATCGATTGAAATAATGGAGGAGTTAACTGAATATTTGGAAGGGAAGGTAATTTGGTGTGGAGATTTTAATGCAAATAGTACAGTGTGGGGTAAATGTAATGATAAAAACGGACAAGTTATAGAAGAAATAATGGAAATGAAAAATCTAGTATGTATTAATGATGGAAAGGGAACAAGAATCAATATAAGAACAGGGATGGAATCAGTTATTGATTTAACAATTGTCTCAAATGTTTTAGCTGGTATTTGTGATTGGTTTATTGATAAAAAATCTACAATAGGTAGCGATCATTACCCCATAATAGTAAGAGTAGGGCTAAATTTAAATAATAGGAATATTAAAATTGGGAAAAAGTATAATTTTAATAAGGCTGACTGGACTAAATTTAGATATTTGAGTCAAATAAACTTAGAAAAAGTAGACATGAGTATGGATATAAATGATTTAAATTTAATAATTGGTAAAATAATAATGGAAGCAGCAGATAATTCTATAAAGAAATCAGGGAGTAAGAACGATAAGAAAATGGTTCCATGGTGGACAAATGAGTGTAAAGAAGCAATAAAGAAACAAAAATAGAGAAAATTTGGAAAGTAATCAAAATAATGAATGGTATTAAAAGAGAGTTTGACTATCCTGTTCTAAAAATAGATGATACAAACGTAATAAGAGATGAAGATAAAGTTGAAATATTGGCAAGAACATTCAGTAAAATTCATAGTTCAAATAATATTAGTGAAAATGGAAGAAAAGGTAGAGAAAATACAAAAATTAAATATAAAGATTTTATACAGAGCGGTGAAGAAACAAATAATTTGTTAAATGTTGAGTTTACAAAAACGGAATTGAACAATGCACTTAAAAAGACAAAAAACACAGCACCAGGTAAAGACCAAATCTGGTATAGAATGATAGGGCAACTTAGTGAAAAATCTAAAGATATAATATTACACCTATATAATAAAATTTGGGAGGAGGGAAAATTACCGTTGAGCTGGAAGGAATCAATTATTATACCAATAGCCAAACCAGGGAAAGATCATTCAAACCCAGAAAACTACAGACCAATAGCCTTAACATCTAATTTATGTAAAATAATGGAAAAAATGATTAATAATAGACTAGTATATTATCTAAATAGTAAAGGATATATATCAAAATATCAAAGTGGTTTTCGAAAAGGGAGGAGCACTAACGATCCAACGCTCTGTTTAGAGCACGAAATTAGAAGAGCACAAGTAAATAAAGAAAGTGTAGTGGCTGTATTCTTTGATATAGAAAAGGCATATGACATGATGTGGGTGGATGGATTATTAATTAAATTATACAAGATTGGTATTAAAGGGAGAATATTTAAATGGATTAAAGACTTTTTAACAGGTAGGAAAATACAAGTTAGAATAGGAGAAACTACCTCAGGAAAATATAAAGTAGAAAATGGAACTCCACAGGGGAGTATTATAAGTCCACTTTTGTTCTCAATTATGATAAACGATGTATTTAAAGATATTGAAAAAGACATGGGGTGTTCACTATTTGCAGATGATGGAGCTGTTTGGAAACGAGGGAAAAATGTTGATTTTATTGTTAAAAAATTACAAAAGGTTATTATTGAAATAGAGAAATGGGCGTTGCAATGGGGATTTAAATTCTCAGTTGATAAAACAAAAGTAATGTTATTTACTCAGAAAAAAATAAACAAGGAAATAAAATTAAAATTATATAAACAAGAGTTAGAGCAGGTAAAGTGTATAAAATTTTTAGGATTATGGTTCGATGAAAAATTAAAATGGCATATACATATACAAAAAGTTGTTGATAAATGTAAGAAAATCTTGAATATTTTGAGATGTTTGGCTGGCAGTGACTGGGGAGCAGATAGGAAATCACTAAAACAGATTTACACAAGTATGATAAGATCCAACATAGACTTTGGTTGTTTAGTTTACGGTTCAGCAGCTAAAACACATCTAACCAAATTAGACATTATCCAACATCAGGCACTAAGATTATGTACTGGAGCATTTAAAACCACACCAACAGCAGCATTAGAAATAGAAATGGGAGAAATGCCATTAGATTTAAGAAGAACAAAATTAGAAATCAATTACTGGTTAAATTTACAAGGAAATAAAGGGGATCACCCAACTTTGGACATTTTAAATCCATGCTGGGAAAAAGAAAAGAAAGAAATGAGGAGTTTTGGATGGACAATTGAAAATAAAATTAAAAAATTTAAAATGAATAGTTTAGAAATGAGTCAAACAACACCAATATCAATTATACCTCCCTGGATTCTACCAGAAGCAACAGTAGATATGTCACTAATGGAAAAGAAACAAGATAAATCGTACACGGTAGATATCAATTTAGTACAGTTATATTTAGACAGTTATTATCAATATATTCAAATTTATACCGATGCATCAAAAATGACTGAGAAATTAGGAATAGCATTTGTAGTACCAGAATTCAATATAAAAATAGGAAAACGGATTACAGATGGATTATCAGTATACACAGGAGAAATGTTGGTAATATTATTAGCATTACAATGGGTAGAAGATATAAAACCGTTAAAATCAGTCATTTGTTCAGATTCAAGCTCCGCATTGTTAAGTTTAAAAAATAACCAAACAGATAGTAGGATGGACATTTTATTAGAAATAAATCATACACTGTTCA